TCAGAGGGAGCTTCTGAAGTTAAAAAAAAAAAAAAAATTACTAAAAATAGAAGTTACCTACTCTCTAATGAACACATGTGGTTTTTACAAATTTTTTGCTCTGTCCAGACTCACCATGGTTTTTCTTGAGAGAAAAAACAAAAGTTTGACATAACAATTACACATTAGTGTAATAATCCAAAGGAATTTTTTTTTTGTCTAACAGATGGAGCAGCCAACTTTGTCTACAGCATGTACAAACAGAAGAATGTTTCTTTCAGTCTTCTCTACTGACAATTTATTTGCTAGAAATGTCAGAGATGTAGTCTTAATGGTTTGCTTTTCTCAGACTTCTGATTGGGCAAAACACAGTGCTTATAATCAGTTCAGAGCCGTGGACCCAGCCCTTCAGGACACAGGAAAGCTCCTGGAGGAGTCTGTGGTCCCAGCTGAACTTCAGGCAGGAACCAAAGAGCAAAAGGGGAGACAATTGGCCAAAATTCCTAAGAGGTTCTCCCTCACCTTTCTTGCAAATTAGCCCTTAGCAACTGCTATCTATCTTGCCATTGGTTAAGCTGAAGTCTGAACCATCTAATAATATTGTGAGTCATGAATTAAAGGCGATGTCTAGAGGTATGTAAAATAGAATCCAAAATTGGGACGGAGAGGTAGCTACCACTCAGAAAGCAAGAGTTGGTCTTGAAGAGAATCTTGAAGAAGCTCAGGAATGACATCAAACACATCAGGAATAAGCACCAAGCTTCCAACGAGAAGAAGGGAAAAGAAAATGGAAGACTATTGCTGGGGGGGAAGGGGTGTAGTGACTGAATAATCCTCAAAATGAATGCAGGTGATATCCCGCTTTTAAAAAGTGCCATTATATTTGTAAGTAGTAAGAGAAGCTGGACACACGAGCATTTCCTTGTAATGCCCTTCCTGAGCTTGGCCTTCACAAGGCATGGATGTGAAGAAGGCACCACATTCCATTTCAGCAACTCAACAGAGTGTGAAGCTGAGAAACAGAAAAGCAGCGAAAATTATTAAGCCCTTGGAAAACAAGAGCTATGAAGAATGGCTTAAGTAGGTGGGATTATTTATCACTGAAATAAAAACACCAGGGGGCTGACTTCACTGTGGCTTTCAAATACATGGAAGGTAACCAGCTGTTCTTTCTCCACTACATACAGAACAAAAGAAGGCTTTTGTTTGAATTTCTGTGAGACGTACAAAGAACTATCTGATCAGCAGGGCAGTTTACAGAATTTGCCTCACTGAAAATCCAGAATCCCATCCACAGCCATATGTCTGAAATAATTCAGGCTCAGCCCTGGCTGACACCGGGAGGGGGGGACATCCTAGATAATCCAAACTTTCTCCCAGCTCCAAAACTCTGAAATTGGAATCCAAGCTATTGGCTTACAGTCAGACTTCCTTTTGTTTATTTTCGCCCTGAGCCTGGAAAGGAGGGGACACAGAAAGGATGACCCAACACCCCAGGAGGACTCCTAACTGATCTCTCAGTATCAGGAAAAGCTTTTCTCTGGATACCGTTTCACATCTCCAAAACACAGTCACTTCACAGATCATTTAAAACAGAAAACAATGCAAATACCTGGCTCCACTGGACACTCGGGGGTTGCTCGCCCCACTCCGCACAATGCCTGCTTTTCTCATTAAGTCTTGGCCTAAGCTCAGAATTGCACATCATTTAAAAAAATTTATGAAGCCAAAAGCTAAAACTATAAGTAAGGTCCTTTAGGTTGTGGAGTTTGAATGAAAATTGTTCCAAGTGTTACGCTTTTTAAATTGGAGAACATAAATCTCATTTTGAAATTAGTAACTGGTTTGCCTTTCTCTTAAGGCACCATGAAACATAAAGAAGCAATCAAAACATTTCCAATACATTCACAATCGTATCAAACTTCTTTGGGGGAAGCAAGGTGGGGAAGAAACAATCCAGACACCAGCTGCATTTAGCAAGAACATTTTCTTTTTTTTTTTTTTATGTTTTATTTATTTCTGAGAGAGAGAGAGAGAGAGAGAGAGCATTAACAGGGGAGAATCAGAAAGAGAGTGAGATACAGAATCTGAAACAGCCTCCAGGCTCTGAGCTAGCTGTCAGCACAGAGCCGATGCGGGACTTGAACCCATGAACTGTGAGATCATGACCTAAGCCAAAGTCGGATGCTTAACCAACTGAGCCACCCAGGCAACCCAGCAAGAGCATTTTCTGATGGTACCAGACATTACCATGAGTGCTTTTCACTTCAAATCTTGTAAGGCAGAGAGGTAGCAAACTGGTAGCTAGTGGGCCAAACCAAGCCCTTCATGTGTTCTGTTGAGACTGAATTGAAAAAAATTAAAAGAAAATTTTTTTTTACATTTATGTATTTTTGAGAGAGACAGAGAGACAGAGAACAAGTGGGGGAGAGGCAGAGAGAGGAGACACACAGAATCCAAAGCAAGAGTCTGATGTGCAGCTCAAACTCACAAACCGTGAGATCATGACCTGAGCTGAAGTCGGACACTTAACCAACTGAGCCACCTAGGCGCCCTCCCCAAATTTTTAAAATTTAGTTGCCACTACTTGAGAAAATTAGAATTTTTCCTATAAAAATCCAGATTCTCAGCTTCTCTTGAAAAGTGGGAAGATCAGGAGACATCACATGGCCACAACTGGCTGGAGCAGCTGCTCTCCCATGGGTAGAACAGGGAGCACTTCAGTTTGCCACAGTCCCCACCATGCCCTATGGTCTGACACTGAGAAGGCAGGTTATTGCCATTTATCACCACACTTTATTGGTCAGTCCTCCTTGCCCGCTGCACCAGCACCTCCTGAAGGCATAGCATCCGGTAAATAAGAGCAGCCATCTTCACCGATGATATGAAACAGGAAAGGCTAATAACCTTCACAGTGGTAGTGTCCCCCTCTCCAATAAAGACACAAAGAAAAATTCCTCTCCCCTAAGAACCAACTTAGTACTGAAGCTGTTGGGAACCATGGGGTTTTCCTTCTTCTAAGAGGAAGGTGTGTCATTTCTTCTCTAGGAGTAAAATAGTTTTTCTTCTTTTGTTTCTTTTAAAAGATGCTCAACTCTGAAAAAAGGAAAAGTTCTGAAAATCATGTAACTCCACATTTTTAGAGGAATGGTCTTCCTGTTTATTTGTGCTCAAGTCAGGGAACCTGAGACTACGGTTTGGCTAAAAAAACAAAAACACCCCCACATTTGCAGCTATGAAGTCGCAAGATAGAACTTTAACATACACACATACATGACCTCGAATTACCACCCATTGATTCAGATGGTGTCATAGTTGCTAAAGACATTTTTTGAACTTTTCTGGGACTGTCTTCAGTTATTACTAACGTGTCAGCCAAAAATGGCCTCATGACTTTAAGGCCACATCTTATTTATTGGCTCAAAATGCTATTACCTGGCTGGGTCACCCAACCTGAGGACCTGGGCCTGGACCTGAATGACTTCTGACTCTTTCTGGAGATCAATGTGCCTTAAAGGCCAAGGATTTGGCCCTCTGCAGGACCCTCTGCCCACTGTGTGGCTGGACTAGGTCTGTCCAGGTGGTTCTTATTACCTGTAGCCAACCTCTGGGAGAAAAGCATACCTTTACCTGGGTTTCCACGTACCCGACCCCGTACCTTGACAAAGCTATGTCAGACGCTAAGTCCTTTCTGTAGGGCACTAGGGAGTTAAGATGAACACCTGGCTCCCCACCTTCAACTACCTGCAAGATTTGCTTACCTGGGTCCTTTGGACCTAGCCCAGGTGTCCTGCCCAGAGGACACCAGCTAACATAGCCACACAAGCCTCTTATTCTCAGGATCAAGGCTTTTTTATTGAGATCATCCCTATTTTCTAATTCTTATTTCCACAATTTTGAAAAGCCTGTGATTTGGCAGAACCTTTATCTGAACTCTGTGGTATCATTTCCATTGTCTGGAACAATGTATCAGTCAAAAAATGCAGGTCTGCTTAAAGCAGATGTTTTGCCTTAATCTACAAGGCAACTGTTTTCATTCCCAGTACAAGATGGGGAGATTTAAAAAAAAAAAAAACGAAAGTAGTAGGGCAAAACCAGAAGTTGGGACATCTCAACACTGTGGTTTTGTTACTTGGTATGTTAAGAGTCTGCTTGTGTTGAACGTAAGAAACATTAGTATTTGAAAATAAGTATCCAAACTGTAAATCTAATCTAAAACTTAACCTGATTTTTGGTCTAGCACATTTTTTTTTCTCTTGTATTTTCATAAGAAGGAAGTTCATTTAGCAAGTTCTCTGTCCGCACTCATGGAGCTCAGTTGATGCCCCCGCCAGTCCTCCATGCTGTTCCTAGGGTCACTTTCTCAGAGATGCCTCATTTTATGTGCAAACCAGAATATCTATCCTAAAAGTAACTCCCCAGGGTTCCTTTGGAGCACATACCATTTCCTGCCTTCAATCTCTCTGATAACGTTCCAAAGTGAATTTTCACGCTAGCAACTTTGGACTGACCGATAGCCCTTGCAGAATGTATCCTGACAGTGGAAGGGCAGGACAGGCATGTGTGGGCAAGAACTCTGCATTTGCCCCAGACTCTCCAGTAACATGGAACATCTCTTCTCCAGCCGGATGCCTGGTTCTGTGGGGGAGGGGGTTCTGTGGCTCACTCGTCTCCCCTGCAGAGCAGCTGCAGGAAACTTGATGCCAGAGAACAAGCATGTTCTTCTCCCAAGAAGCCGTCAGCTGCCTTTACAGAACATGGAGTGTGGCATTTGCATCAAAAATACACACAAACCTCTTCTTTCCAACAAGGCTGCAAAGCTTCCCCTCCCCACCTGCCGAGCATGTGCTTGGATGGAAAAGTCCTGTCTCGTTCTACCTCCCAACCCCTCCTTGAGACGTTTCTCAGAGTAATATTGGTCCTATCTGCTAAAGGAGTAAAACCCAGGGTCCCCTGTGTAGTGCTGAGTAAAAGCAGGGTGCCCAAAACCAACAGCACCCACGAAAAGGGTGGAGAAAGATGCTCACAACTCCTGAAGGACCCGGGGAGAAGGGATTCCATATGAGAGACCACGACATCATTACCCACATGCTAACAGATAAGCAGGATGTGAATAACTGTTCTCCCTTTGGAAAGAGAAATTCTGTAGAAACATCATTCATTAAAAACAGAACATTTACTTTTCCTTTTTAAAGTAAATTCTTTCCTCCTAAGTTCTAAATACCTATTTTTGGTAGAAGCACAAGAGACCAATCTTTCATTGGCTAAAAACAACAGAAACACACAGTGAAACACGATTCACAGGCTGGGTTGTGGGGGGAGTACTTTGAGATTCAAGAATTGAATGACTTCAGGTCTCATGTCTTCTTCAGATGATATTAGAAGAGCAAACTCATCTTTGTGACAGTCTTCTTTCCACCTTCTTATAATGAGATTTATCATCAATCAAAACCAGTTCAGCAGATTCAGTGCTGCCACCTGCACAGGCCGCCGTATTTCAGTGGACTCTGATTCCTAATATTCTGGACACAGCTTTCGGTCAGAAGCCGAATGAAGCACGAACTCCGGCTTTCAGTAACACAGCCAGTTGGGTATTAGTCTTTTAAAAATAAACTTCCAGGCAGCAACATCTGAGGTACTGGGCAGTAAATGCAACCCCCAGGGAAACTTGGCAGGCAGATCCAGCCCCCACACGATGCCTACTCAAACCAAGAGGCAGTCCAGTGTCCTGAGTTTTGCCGCTTTCTGGTCATTGACCAACCTATGTCAGAAAGAACCGTCTAGATGATCTGCCTGACCCTGCAGCCCCCACCTCAGCCTGCCATGGTGCCCACGAATACATAAAGACTCACTTTATGAAAGATGATACGATATACAGTCACCTCCTTGACCTTTGACTCAGAGCTTTTTAAACATCCATGTCATTTTAAATTCTATACCCAAAACAGACAAGAACATCATCTGTAACAACATGGATTCCAGATAGACTGGCACTTGATTTCTGTGGCTGTAGTGGTACTAAAAGTGCTTCTTCCACAAAGCATTTCCAATCAAAGTAGCCAACAGCGAATGGACAAGGTCTGAAGCAGTGTAGGTATTTTCCTGTTTCTCTGTGCATATTTCCTCCCGACCTCCCAGAATTGGCTCTAATCCAAGGTCTGACCTAATGTGACCAGCTGCTGTCAAACCTTATGGACATGCCTTCCAGAGATCCATATGGTTTTAGAAAATTGGATACTTTGCCAAGATATCAGGTAGAGGGATGGGCAAGGAGAGCAAGTACTGGCCCAAATTTCACTCCAAATATCCTTGTAGGAGACCTCAGCTCCAAGTAGATTGCTCAACCAGACAGAAGAGCTGGGGCACCAGAGAGAGGCAGCAGCTAAAGTGGCAATGCGTAGACTCTTCCGTTTTGTTACAAAGGGGCGACCGCATGGAGTTCACCAGTGTAGCTGCAGCAACCAGGTTCTGCTCGGCATGCCCCAGCGGCGAGGAGCTTGGAAGGGAAGGCGGGAGGATCCTCCTCACCTAAGGAAAGAAGACAGGGCAGAGCCACACGTCATTGCACTTCACTGGGTGGGGGGCCAAGGCCAGAGTGTGGCTGCATCTAGACTTGGACCGTGGGCTTTACAAACGAGCAGGCATACCAACCGGGTCAAGACAGGGCACTCTCATCCTGGTGACGAGCTTCCTTACCTGAGGGTCAAGGGTTTGCATGCCTGACTCACGCTGGTCATAGGACTGTAAGGAGCAGCCCCAGATGGCATCCTGCCGGTGATGCCTGGGGAGGCAGGGCTCTTCTACAGAGCCCTCCTACCTGGCCCTGTGCTGAGACATTACGGAGAGAATGCTGTGTCCATCTACCCCAAGATCACAAGATGTGGCTTTCAAAGTACTTGCATTGAAGAGGGGTGGTGAACACCTCAAATCTCAACAAAGATACAAGCCCACAGACCCTCATCCAATACCCCTGGGGCAAGCTGTGTCTTGGTAGTCAGATCTATGGAGTTCAGGAAGGTGATATAACACACACACTGCATGTTACATAACACCACTTACAGGGTCTGGGCAAGCTCACTCTAACTTAGCATCAGTGTTTCTGCAGTTCATACATGTGAACATTCCCAATGCCTGGAATAAATCGAGACTATCAAAGGAGTTGTGTTACCTCCCATGAGGTTTCATTGCCAATAAGTCCATGCCCCCATTAGGAAAAACCATGCATGGATTTGGGAATTAGGGACAAAGGCTGTGGCCTAAGTCACAAAGGCACTCTCGGCTCTCCTGCACCTTACCCAGGCCAGAGGAGGAGGACACGCTCTCCGTCAGTGAAGATGTTTCTGTTTGATCTGCTGAGAGTCCTTCCATTAGGGGCAGGGACAGCTCCGAGGAGGGCACGGATGAGTCGTAGATGCCCGAGTCCCGGGGCATATCTGAGGGGCTGGAGGCTTTCACCACATGCAACAGGGGGCGCAGGACGGAGCCGCTGCTGGACCCGGGCCCCACCTCCACCTCTTGGTCCAGGCCCAAGTGCTGGCCCTCCGAGGGCGAGTCGGCCTGCACCCCAGACCCCCCGGGGACCGCTGCCTCAGCCTTGAGGCAGAAATCGCTGTCAGGCCCTGGTTTGCACATGACATCATTTAACACCAAGCCCGAGTCAAACTTCTCCAGCACTGGCTCCCGGTAGTGAAGTGGGGTAGGGCGGAGGGGAATGAATTGCTTCTCAAACCAGTCGGGCTCCTCATCGATAAACTGGTGCATGTTGCAAATGGCGACGTAAAGGGACCGGCCTGATTTGCTGCGAAAGTAGTTCCTTCTGCTCACCTGTCCGGGGCACTGCCCGGGCTCTGGGAGACCGAGGTCTCGGGAGTGCAGGTGGGAACAGAGCTGGGGAAGGTTGTCCATGAGCTTGTACTTGGTGCTCAGGTCCAGGATGCCGGGAACATCTCCCTCGCAGGAATAGTCGAAGTAAACGGCGATGAACTTGCTGAGCTGGGCTGAGGAGCTGTGTTTGGCCTGGCGCAGCTTTTCAGCGATGGCGGACACAGCCACCAGGAAGAGCTCGCCTTTCCCGGAGCCCCGGCCGCTGCCTTTGTGCCTGTAGTTCTTCTTGTCCACAAAGTACTTCATGCCTTTGGAACACACCACGATGATGAAGTGGGACTCATGGATCTTCTGGATGACCCACTCTCTCTGCCCTTCTCGGCAAAGACTGAAGTCTTCCCACAGGTCCAGAGCCACCTGGAAAGAGATCAGGGACCTCACTCACCTGCACTCCTGGGCCAGGTCAGGTAACAAAAACAAGAGTGTTATAAGAAGGTCACATCATATGTCCCCTAAGTATTATCAGCACTGCTGTGTGCAGGCTCCAGGCCGCTGGCCTCTGAGAACAGCGCACATTCTGTGGGGGATGGTCACATGCCAGGCCCTCTGCATTGTGCCCTTGTTTTGGCCTAATGTGGGGCCATTAACAAACACATTGACTCTATGAGGGAAGATCCTGAAGTAAAATCTGGAAGGTGACGATGGAAGGATGTGGGTGAAGGACCCCAAAGCAGGCAGCAAATGGGGCTCAGTTCTGGATGCCAGAGCTGCCCACAATGCTGACTGACTCACATCTTAGAGAGCATAACTGACAATGAAGACCTCCTTGGCCCCAAGGTCAGCCATGCTGTTTACCAGTCAGTCAACGGCCAGAGAGGAGGGTGGTGGACTGCAATAACACAGCCACTCTGGTTAATGACTTGTGAATGACTGGCACCTCCCCCCATGACTTCATGGCAATCTATGGGATCATATCCCTATAAGGCCTTTAACCCCAAGGAGGTTCTGGGAGGGCATTTGGGAGAGGGGCACTGACAAAGGAAGGAAAACCAGGCATACACGTCCCCTTCAGAGGGCCTCACCTGCTCAGACCACTTTCATCTGATTCTGCTGAAAACATCTCTTGGCAGTTGTATCAACCTCTTTCTTTCTGTGGCTCAGAAACTAATTCCCAGGGGTGCCTGCGTGGCTCTGTCAGTTAAGTCTTCAGCCCAGGTTTCATGGTTCATGAGTTGGAACCCTGCATTGGGTTCTGCACTTAACAGTGTGAAGCCTGCCTGAGATTCCCTCTTCTCTCTTTCCTCTCCCCCATTTGCGCGTGTGCGTGCACACTCTCTCTTTCTCAAAAACAAATAAATAATATTTAAAAAAAAAAGAAAGAAAGAAAGAAAGAAAAGAAACTAATTCTCAGTGGCTATGCCTGAATGCAGGATTATCTCCTATGGAGAAAGGGGTTCTGAAATGACATTGTCTTCCTTTTCGGCTCTAATGTGTTGTCAAAGGGCAGAAGGTCCCCAGCATCCACTCACTTGCTGAAAATAATCCTAATTGTCTTATATTTCCTTAATTCTCACTAGCATTATACATTCTAAAAGCTAACTGGGAATATATACCAAGCATTTTAAAAATTTTCCCATCTTGGACCCAGCCTGGCTTCTATCTCTGGAAAATCATCAGAAATGAGGCAAAACTGAACTCCTGAGCTGTTTAACAATATGAAATAACTTAATTACAGTAAATTGATATTATGGATCAACTGGCTATTTAAAATTGCACAGTGCAGCCACACTGGAAAACAGTATGGAGTTTCCTTAAAAAGTCAAAACTAGAACTACCCTATGATCCAGCAATTGTACTACTAGGTATTTCCTCAGAGTACAAAACTGCTAATGCACCCCGATGTTTACAGCAGCGTTATCAACAATAAGCAAATTATGGAAAGGCTCAAATGTCCATCAATAAAGATAATATGGTATATATAAACAATGAAATACTACTTGGTGACAGAAAAGAATGAAATCTTGCCATTTGCAACAACGTGGATGAAACAGGAGAGTATTATGCTAAGTAAAATAAGTCAGAGAAAGACAGATATCATGTGATGTCACTCACATGTGGAATTTGAGAAACTTAACAGATGACCATAGGGGAAGGGAAAGAAAAATAAGATACAACATAAAAGGAGGCAAACCGTAAGAGACTCTTTAAATACAAAGAACAAACTGAGGGTTGATGAGGGTGGGGGGTTGGGAGGGTGGGGAAGATGGGTGATGGGCATGGAGGAGGGCACTTATTGGGATGAGCACTAGGCATTGTATGTAAGTGATGAATCACAAAAACCTACTCCTGAAACCAAGACTGCACTGTATGTTAGCTAACTTGACAATGGGAAAAAAAAGATGTGGCATGCATATATATATTTGATGTTATTTATCATATTTTACTATTATCTCTCTCTCTCATAGGATATTACTCAGCCATAGAAAAGAATGAAATCTTGCCATTTGCAATGACACGGATGGAGTTAGAGAGTATTATATTAAGCGAAATAAATCAGAGAAAGACAAATACCATATGATTTCACTCATATGTGGAATTTAAGAAACAAAACAATCAGTGGGGGGGGGGGGGGGGGGGGGAAGGAAAGAGAAAGCAAACCAAGAAAGAGACTCTTAACTATGGAGAACAAACTGGTGGTTACCAGAGGGCAGGCGGGTAGGGGGTAGGTGAAATGTGATGGGGATTAAGGAGGGTACTTGTCATGATGAGCAGCAGGTGTTGTATGGAAGTGTTGAATCACTACTGTCTATACTGGAAAATAATATTACACTGTATGTTTTACTAATAGCCATTTAAATAAAAACTTAAAAAGCAAGGGAATAAAATTGTAGTTTACATAGAACTTTCAATAGTGTAAAAAGTTATTAAATGAAGAGACGGGGGAAAAAATCATCTGCATGAATTCACCTATGGAGAAAAAAATTGGAGGGAAATGCACCAAATATTAACTGTGGTTCTTCGTTTCTCCAGATTGAGATTACAGGCCATTTTCTTTGTCATCCTTTTCTGTTTGCAAATTTTCTTAAGTATCACACTCATAATTGGAAGACTTTTTCCCCCTGAGGCTAGTTAGTTACAAAGTAGAGCAAATGAGTTGTCTGTGTCTGAAGACTGTGGCACCAGCTAGAGTTTGCTGTTAGTTTTTCAGTGCGCAGGCCAATCGGCCCATCTTTGTAGCTTCGTGCTTCAGCCTTGGAAATAGGTGTTCTTGACACTAGGGGGCAGCAGTGCCACATGCAAAGACTAAAACCTATCAGCAGGCAGGAAGTATCAAAGCACAAATAACTTCAATTACACAATTACTGTACAGCTTTTGCATTGTCAAGAGACAGAGTGTGCCTTCCATGAGAGCTTCAAACTTCACTCTAAAATTAGTACTATGACATTATAGAGAAGCTACATATTAATAGCTTAACTCAAAAGAATAGGCAAGAAACCTGAGCCGACCATTTGAGTACTTCACGCATTATTGTTTTCCTTTCTCAGCAAAACTTCTCCAAAGAGTTGTCTAAACCCAATGCTTTATTTTCCATCTTCTCTTGACCTTTCAAGGCTCATCAAGATGTCTTGAGTGACCACACGCCACCCCTCTTGTTTTATGTTCCCAGGGCACGTGCCATTTCCCTCCATGCAACTGCATGGTCTTTTTGATGTTTATCAAACTTCCCGCCAGGGAGGTACCACTAAAGCTTTTGAGCAGTAGTGTGTCAGGGTTAGGACTAAGTGTTAGGAAACATTTAGTGCTGGTGATAGGTAGGACAGACTGAAGCAGTGTGAGGCTGCCCCCGATTTGGAAGCTGGTCCCTGGTGGACGGCGAGAGTCACCAAAGGAGTCCAGGAAGCAGTGAGGAGCGTGGGAGCATGTGTCCTGTCCAGGGGCAAAGAAGGGACTTCAGAATCCTCACCTCACAGCCGCAGAAGTCCTGGAGGAAGTAGGCAAAACACCGGACAACGTTCATGTGATTCTGGCCATCTTTACTGGAATAGCAGAGGAAGACCTTCGGCCGAGGCCGGAGCCTCTCTCTGGGGAGTGCCGTGGTGTACGAGGAGGACTCAGAACTCTCTTCATCTAAATGTGAATATATATTTTCTAAATTGGAAAAGAAGATAAGGTTGATGCCTACAAGCGATGCTTTGTCCTGTTCCCTAAGACTCAGGACCTAATGCCACCTTGAAGAAACAACCATTGACATGTCCACCTGAGCACGTGTCCAGTGTCCCACCTCCCCAGCCGCTGGGGTCACCAGTGGGAATGGGACAGCTGACTTTTCCAGTGGAGAAACAAATGGCCAAGATTTGTTGTTTGCCTGACACTGACCTCACGTAAGCCGAGAAAACTGCATGGACCACCCCGGCCAGCAGAGAGCTGGTGTAACTACCAGATCAATTAAGCACTGGCAGCCGACCTTCTTAAACAAAACGGGTGGGGGAGAAAACAAAAGCCTTTTATTGAGATATAACTTATAAAGCATATGGCTCTTAAACGTACATCTTAATAAATTTTTATCTAAGTATATACCTGTGCAACCACCACTCAGACCGAGGTATGAAACATTTCCAAGCTCCCCTAGGAAGTTCCTTCCCGACACCTGACGTTTAGAAGTGACAAGCCCTACCTCTGCATCTTACTCGGACCTTTACACTTCCTTTATGTTCCTGAATTTACTATCTTGAATTTGAGAACAGAATTACAACTTTGTGTTCATGGGTCCTGAGGTTAAAAGTCAAGCTTTGGATGTTAGGAACTGCAGGCGCTATGTGGCTTCCCAGACGCCCGCTCTGGGCGGGACGAAGGTCTCCCAGGCTCCCTGTGCTGGATGCAGTCCTGTCACCCTGGGGGGAACACGCCACAGAGACAGATACCTTGTTGCTTCTTGCGGCACATCACAGTGAAGAGGGTGGCAAACGCCGAGATGACAACCAGAGGCACAGTGATGGCAACAGCCCTAATGGGCCCCGCCCACGGGGAGTGTGCTAGGAAATTTCAGAGAGAAGAGGCTTGAAACTTAAGCAAAACAACAAGGTCAAATGGAAATCTCCCTCCCTCCCCACCCTTTTTTAAACAATATTTTTAAATTTTTTTTTAATTTTACAAATAGTTTATTATCAAATTGGTTTCCACATAACACTCAGTGCTCATCCCCACAAGTGCCCTCCTCCATGCTCATCCCCCCTCCCCCCCACATCCATCAGTCCTCAGTTTTTGTCAGCATTCAAGAGGCTCTCCTGGTTTGCCTCTCTCCCTTTCCCCCACCATTTCCCCCCTTCTTTCTCCCCCTTGTTCCTCAGTTAAGTTCCTCCTAATCCTCCTATACATGCAAACATATGGTATATGTCCTTCTCTGCCTGACTTATTTCACTCAGCATAAAACCCTCAAGATCCATCCAAGTTGCTACACATGGCCAGATTTCATTATTTCTCATTGCCATGTAGTATTCCATGGTATAGATAAACCACATCTTCTTGATCCATTTGTCTGTTGATGGACACTTAGGCTCTTTCCATGTTTTAGCTTAAACAATATTTTTTAAATGTTTATTTGTTTTTGAGAGAGAGAGAGAGACAGAGAGAGAGAGAAACCAAGAATGTGGGGGGAAGGGGCAGGGAGAGAGGGAGACACAGAATCTGAAGCAGGCTCCGGGGCTCGAACGCATGAGATGTGAGATCATGACCTGAGCCCAAGTCGGATGCTCAACCGACTGAGCCACTCGGGCGCCCCATTTCCCCACTCTTTTTAAACATAAGCTGCGTAACAGATTCTAGGTCCCCTTGACCACATTTCTCTAGTACTGGTCTGGTGATTATAAAAGGATTCCTTTTAAAGGGTTGTAGAATACAGCAGTTAGAATTGCTGGGAAAGTAAACACCTGTGCATAAGAATTCTGCCCAAGGAAACCTCACCTCCCACCATTTTTCTTCCAAGGACAAGTGACTATTTAGTCCCAGCTACACACAAATACACACCAACCACACTGGCGTCAGTTTTCCAGGCATTTGACATTAGGATGAAAAGAAAGTCAGCTTTGATGGGATAGCTTTTCTATTTTTTTTTAAGTTTGTTTATTTATTTATTTTGAGAGAGTGTGCACACACATAAGGGCAGAGAGAGAGAGAGAGAGAGAGAGAGAGAGAGAATCCCAAGCAGACTCCACACTATCAATGCAGAGTCCGACTTGGGGGGAGGCAGGGCTCAATCTCACAAACCGTGAGATCATGACCTGAGTCGAAATCAAGTCGGCTGCTTAACCGACTAAGTCACCCAGGCATCCCAATGGAACATCTTTTTAAAAGACAAGAGCTCAGATGCTGTGTTTTAATTCTGTAAACCATGAAGTATAGAAAGTATCAAATAGCATGGTCTGCTGTAGTCCTGAGCCAACATTTCACACAGAAAATTAAAAAAACAATTCATACCTGGCTTTAAGGCATAATGCATCACTTTTCTTGTTGTATTAGTGTCATCTACAAGCTGAAAAACAGAGGATGCTGTATCATTATTTTATAAAAGTGATAACATCTCAACAGATTTCATTCATGTTTCCATCTATGAACAGTTGGGGGGCAGGAGGAAGGAGAGCTGCTGTCTGTGATCACGTATGAGCTGGGACTAGACATGAAGTCAGATCCATCTCACTTTACCAACTCACAACCCTTAACCTCATTACCTTTCCTTTCATGAATCAAACATGGTTCATTCATTGATGAATTCAGCTGGTGAGTTCCACATTCTAACAATCCTCAATTACAATGGCATTCTACTACTAATTTTACGGGGCCCCGTTAATGCTTTAAGAGGATGCGTCCACTCAAAACCACATACAGCTACCAAGTCATACAATCAGTGTTTCTCCTAGAATGTTGAGACATGTTGGTTTCTCTGAACAGAGGGACTATGGGCAAATTTTTAATTTCCTTTTTTTCTCTTTTTTTCTATTTTTGTGTTACTCCTATTTTTGTAGTATGTTTGATACTAAAAAAGTAATTTAAAATAAAAGAAGAGGGGTGCCTGGGTGGCTCAGTCATGGCTCGTGAATTTGAGCCCTGCATCGAGCTCTGTGCTGACAGCTCAGAGTCTGGAGCCTGCTTCAGATTCTGCGTCTTCCTCTCTCTTTGCCCCTCCCCTGCTAATGCTCTGTCTCTCTCTCAAAATAAATAAAAACATTAAATAAGTAAAATACAAGAAGAAAAATATATATCATTTGCATGTTTTCTGTGGTATTTAGAACTTCATGTATATTTATACAGAAGATGTCAGCAGAAACCTAGAGAGGGATAGGCAGATGTAATGGAGAGAACTTTTGCTTTGAGAGTGAGAAAGAGTAAGCATGCGAGTGGGGGGAAGGGAGGAGGGGCGCAGAGAGAGAGAGAGAGAGAGAGGGAAGGAGGGAGAGAGAGAATTCTAAGCAGGCTCCACACACTGTCAGTGCAGGGCTCAATGCCAGGACTGTGACATCCTGACCTGAGACAAAACCAAGAGTCAGACGCTCAATTGACTGAGTCACCCAGGTGTCCCCCTAAAAGATTTTTAAATCTAAAATTTTAAAAACATATTTTTGTAGTATGAAGGTGTAGGGGCCCAGGGCAGGTTGTCCCAGTAGGTACCACAATGGCCTATTGATAAATACTTTGAAATGAAGTTACTTGGGAACAAGCAAGGACACTCAGACCCTCCCTTCTGTCCCCCTGAAACCAGGAAATAGATCTCCCATATAATGAATACCCTCATTGTATGAACAAGTAAAAACAATATCCTTCTGGTCTGAGATAGGGACTTGAAAGTCGGGAAAGCTGTAGAAATAAGCCAGAAATAAACTTTTTTTCTAATTTACTACATCAGCCTAAATCCCCTTTAGAATTCCTTACTAAGTAAAGCTCCCAAACATCTATTTTCTTTATCCTGTCAATTCCTCAATAATTTAGCATCTCTTTGTTTAAAAAGTATAAAAACTACACCTGCCTCTGTCATTTCATTGGGTCTCAATTTCATTATTGGGCCTCTGTGAGCACTGAGACTCTGGTTTTCTTCTCCCCATAATCTGTCTCATGTCAATTTAATTCCTAAAACAGCTAGAAGAACCCAGGGAGGAAAAAAGGAATTTCTTCCTCCCCTACAAAGGAATACTGTATAGAAATTCTAAATCATGAACTCTATGGTTTCATAAAAATATTTATATGAAATATTTGAAATATTGAATGAGAAAAATCAAAGATTGATTACATATAAATTTTTAAAGGCATGTTAAGGACCATGTAAAAATATAATTGTACACACCCTTGATGGCTTGAAATTTTAGTGTTGTAAACGGTTGGAATTCTACATGAACTAGATTCATTCTGTAGAATGAATAACAGGGCTTTCTGGAGTTATACATACCTCAATTATATAATCCCCAGGAGAAACATTTTGAAGGAGGCAGCTGGTTGTCTCTGTATTTTGCTCCTACAAAGAAACAAAACACTTTTGAAACTCACTTCTTAAATAAAGGTCACCTGGACTGCTCTTTCCCCCCTAGAGCTAAAGGAGACAGGCCACCAGGCTTAATCATGTTCAGAACACATCAATTAGGTCAGAAAGCTACCACGTGTATCTGCTACATGGTATCTGAACTTCACTTTGATAAAAAGGCCCAGGAGAGCCCAGGACCACTCCTCCAGCCCTCCCCTCACACCCATAGTCTATATTTAACTGATGATGCCCTCAGCAGGCATATTTCATCTGAAGACAAAGAAGCTAGTTAAAATACCCTTTACTTATTGAAAAGGTGAGGAAAGAAATTACCTGCCCATGTTTGTGCATGTTTTATGTGGTGTAATTTTAACTTGAGCAAAAGGTCAAGGAAGGTCAATGACACAGGTGAGAACCCACAGGAAAACAAAACTCAACAATATAGGAGCATGTCCAAGAAGGCACTAGGTTCTGCTATCCTGCCCAGAACCCTCTCCTGGTGCTCGCTAGAGGCAGTCTAACAGTCCTGTGCACTTGCACCAAATGTCTCCCCCTCTTGCTGACCACCCTCAGTTTAAGAACTTGGCTACTAAGCTTCTACCTGACTTTGGCCTATGTGTAAAATCAGTAGGCCCCTGAAATCCTATGTGTTTGGCTCCTAGATGTGGTTTTTCCACTGACTAGCTGCGTGACCTTGAGCAAGCTAGGTAACTACCTGACCCTCAGGTTGCCCATCTATAAAGTGGGGTCACAGCAGCCTCTGGCACATAGAATTGTAAGGATTCAGTGAGCATAGAACATGGTGACTGGCACACAGTGAGCACCCAATTAATCTTTAAGACGGAGCAGAAGGAACTAGAAATACTGAATTCTTTTGGTTTCTTGGTAATACGTTTTCCAGGCTACATCACCACAGGAATAGCTGGGGAGTAAGGATATCCCTGAGATATAACATGCTGGAATATCTACCAGCTGAGAGTCAAAGCCTAATGTTCATGTTGAACCGCCCAGATTCCAGGGATCCAGGGGTTACTTTAAAACATGTAGTATTCTGGCAATGAGAAACAATGAAATCTGGCCATGTGTAGCAACATGGATGGAACTTGAGGGTCTTATGCTGAGCGAAATAAGTCAGACAGAGAAGGACAAATATCATATGTTTGCACGTATAGGAGGATTAGGAGGAACTTAACTGAGGAACAAGGGGGAGAAGAAGGGGGGAAATGGTGGGGGAAAGGGAGAGAGGCAAACCAGGAGAGCCTCTTGAATGCTGACAAAAACTGAGGACTGATGGATGTGGGGGGGAGGGGGGATGGGCATGGAGGAGGGCACTAGTGGGGATGAGCACTGGGTGTTATGTGGAAACGAATTTGACAATAAACTATTTGTAAAAAAAAATATATAAATAAATAAATAAATAAAACATGTAGTATTCCTGGGGCGCCTGGGTGGCTCAGTCAGTTTTAAGCATCGGACTTCAGCTCAGGTCATGATCTCCCAGTTCATGAATTCAAGTGCTGCATCAGGCTCTGTGCTACCAGCTTAGAGCCTGGAGCCTGCTTCAGATTCTATGTCTCTGTCTCTTCCTGTCCCCCCACCGCTCATGCTCTGTCTCTTTCAAAAATAAACATTAAAAAAAATTTAAAACATGTAATATTCCTTAATGTACACATAGCAGCTCACCTGCTTACAGGTCTTTCGTTTGAAGGGCCCTTCATGCTTGAGCTTATAATGAAGATAGAAGAAACGGAAGCCAAAGGTGTGTGGCGCGTGGTCGAAGGACACCTGCATGTCCAAACCGTGCTGGGTGATGTTCAGGTTCCGAGGCTTCCAGACTGGGAGGAGGAAGGACCCAGAATGAGCACCCAGAGGCCACCCCGACACCACTGAGCTGGCAACACTTGACAGATAGGAATGGCTGTACTTACAGGGTTTACAGGCCAGGTTGTCTGGCTGTAGCAGTAGGTCGCAGGCTATTAAGAAAGATGTATATTTTTAGTTTTAGTACAGTTTGACATTTTCCTCATGCAATAAATCAATAAAATGTAAACATATGGCACTGAGTACTGCTGGTAAAAGTATAAAATACATCAATTGAGCAATGATTTCCGATACAGGGCAGTTATATCTTATGAAAATTTAAATTGTACAATATAAAAATATTAATGTAGTTCATTTTCTGCCAAATAAATGGAAACAGTGTAAAGTCACCCAACCTTTTAAAGTTTGTCAAGCATTACATAGTTTCAAGGCCAGTGGGACTGTGTTCAGGCCACTGCCACACGGGGAGGCTCTGTTTCAGCTGTAAACAGAAATGACGCCAGCCCTACTCCATTGTACAGGTGTTTAGGCACAAGAGAACTTTGGAGTGATCCTAGTAACTCCCTCGGGGTTGTTTTAACCTTCACCAGCCTTTTACTTTAAAATCCTTTTGGGGGCACCTGGATGACTCAGTCGGTTAAGTGTCTGACTTTGGCTCGGGTCATGATCTCAGAGTTCCTGAGTTTGAGCCCCGTATCGGGCTCTGTGCTGACAGCGTGGAGCCTGCTTCAGATTCTGTGTCTGTTTGTCTGTCTGTCCCTCTCCCTCTTCCCCCTGCCCCCAACTCGTGAGTGCGCATTCACGTTCTCTCTCAAAAATAAATATATAAATAAATAAACATTTAAAAATCCTTTGGATGGGGTCTGAAAATGGCATCTAGGCATCTAGTGAATAGTGGCACCAGCACTGAAAACCAGGCAGCAGAGCTATGAAACAGGACTTAAATGTGATAAAAACACAAGCCAGGAGCCAAACAGCTAGTCCAATATGCCATGCTGCTGCTAAGCCAGGGAGTACCCTCTGGAAAATGTCCATATACTGCCAAGAAAATCAAAGGCAGCACTAAGATCACAGTGCACTGAAATGGTGATAAACACATCTCCCGCCTCCACCTCCCCGCCAGATAGACTTATTGATTCTGATGGGAAAACTTGATCTTGAATTATGCTAGTTCTGATTAAGGCAAGCTTCTCATAAACACTTTTGAATCCTCTAACCGGTTCTGTGTAAGGCACTGAGATATAAAATGCACAGTCTTTGCCCTAAGGAATCATATTTTAATTAAGAAAATGAGACCAAACCATTATAAAATAATTCTGCTGCACAGAAAATACAGCTTAAAAAAAGAAAAAAGAAAGGTAAAAGCAAACAACAAGAGCATGAATTCTGCAGCTGAGAACAAAAACATCACAGAGGAGGGCAGCAGCTGGACCACATAGGAAGGCCTACTGAGGTGGCCAGACAGCTGACCGTCAGGGGTCTGATAGGCCAGAACGAAGGACTGGACAGGAAGGCAGGTTTGAGGATGCCTGGGCACCAAATCTGAAAGCAGCAATTCAGGTTAAAGAAAGACCCACCACACCGTGCACAGAATAGACAGAAAAGGGAACTCAGCATGGTTGGCTGGAGAGTGTGGACTCTAGAGTCAGACTTCTGGGTTCAAATCCCAGCTCCCACCAGGCTCTCTAATCTCTGGGTGTGTAATTCCACATCTAACAAGTGGACACGGGAGGATTAAATTCTTTGAAGGGTTGGAATGGGTGTAAATTGAGTCAGTACTTAGAAAGCATTTAGGGGCGCCTGGGTGGCTCAGTCTGTTAAGTGTCCGACTTCAACTCAGGTCATGATCCCATGAGGTTTGTGAGTTCAAGCTCTGTGTCAAGCTCTGTGCTGACAACTCAGACCCTGGAGCCTGCTTTGGATTCTGTGTCTCCTTCTTTCTTTGCTTCTTCCCTGCTCATGCTCATGCTTATGCTCTGTCTCTGTCTCTCTCTCTCAAAAATAAACAAACATTAAAAAAAAAAAAAGCACAGGGGCGCCTGGGTGGCTTAATCGGTTAAGCGTCCGACTTTCGCTTGGGTCATGATCTCACGGTTCGTGGGTTCGAGCCCCGCGTCGAGCTCTGTGCTGACTGCCGGCTCAGAGCCTGGAGCCTGTTTAGGTCTGTGACTCCCTCTCTCTCTGACCTTCCCCTGCTCACGCTGTCTCTCTCTCTCTCTCTCTCCTAGAAATAAATAAAACATTTAAAAAAAAATTAAAAAAAAAAAAAAAAGCACAGAGCCTGACACAGACATTAAACAGACAAACTTTCTAGAAAAAGGCAATCTCAGGGTTACTGCTTTATTTTCTTAATGTAATCTCAAAACGGGCATCACTCACAGAAGCCACCTTCCTGACGACAAGTAAAAGATGGAATTATTTCATGCTCTACGCTTCACCCCAAAAATCAACTTCTACTTTTTATTCCCGCTCTTTTTATTTCCCCCAAATGGTTTTAATATGGCTGTCTTACAGCATCTTTAAAAAAAAAAAAAAAAAAGGAATCTAGGGTCAACATCTACTGTTGAACAAGCCTGAAATGGATGTCTCCGGTTAGGTGAATACTGCCTCAGCCAAATGCTAATTCTAATAATTGTTCTTGGTATACTTTTCCTGGATGCTTTTCTCCTCACCATGCTGGTGTCATACCAGTATTTGGTATGTTCTTGAATATATTTCTTCAAAGTCATTAGAATCAGGAGCAGGCTCTTCATGGGAACCAGGCAAGAAAGGCCATACTCACCGCGGGTTCTGAAGAAGAAAGGGTGGTAATTGCTTTCATTTTTAATGGAAGGAAAAGGGACGATCTTCACAAAGTAATCCGTTTCAAATTTCATATTCAGGAAGGGTTGAGATTCCATTCCCTAAAAGGGAATAAAATCAGACATGATATCCTGAAGAAATTACCCCCCAGTCCCACACCTACACACAAGACCTACAGTCCTCTTTCACAGTCACCCAGACTCGGCTCCAGAGCTGGGGGCTATTTTCTGGACCAAGTTTAGGCTGGGATCCCTCGCAGAAATAAAGATCGACAATGCTGCCTGTGCTCTGGCAAAGAAGCCCTAGCTGGTGAACGTGGAACCTCAAAGCTGGTGGGGAGGGGCCCGCGCACTTTGAGTGCACAAAGCCACCTTCCAGGACATGTAACCTGAGAGGTGTATTTACCAGCGAGAGGTGCTGGAGGGTTTCTTTGGGTGTGGAGCAGGCTCAGGGTGCTGCCGAGCTGTTTCTCACCCACCTTGGCAGGGGGGGTGACCCCACAGCCCCTCCTTCTCCAGTTTCACAGACATTCAATAGACCATTCAGACCCCCAGAACAATGGTGTATCTTCAGGGGCACATTCCCTGCGTGTGACTTACAGTTCTTTTGAAGCTACTGTTGAGCTGCTTCGGGTCCTTTAGAATCAGTTGTTGGCACCGTCTTCCCTCTGACTTCAGCTCCTCCAATATTACTCGAAATCCTTTTAGGAATTCGATGCCTAAGCAGAGCAAAATGCTTTTATTAAAAGCCGACCTAATTACTTTTGAACACACTTTCCTTCCTCCAAGACTGCCGTCCTTTCCACCTACATGACAGAGCTAAAGGAATTCTTACTTTGGCTGGTACATCTGAGTCTTACAGAAGCGAAAACCACATACCCTGCATTCCTCTGGTACAGGCCAGGTGATTTTCTCCGTCCCATCATTGCTCATTAATTAGCTCTAATCCAGCCGGCTATTTCACAATGCCCATTGTCTCTGTGACATTAGGGTTCAAATATATAGACTCAAATCACAATTGATCCTAAAAGTCTACAGTGGAATACATTATTCCTAGTTCCTGACACAGAGTGTATTCAACTGATGATAATTCACAATGCTGACTAGGGACTCCCCGTAAACCATGTTTCTGCTTTAAGTTTTCATCCTGCATTTTGCTGGCACGGTTCAACCGAGTAATGCACAAAATTCCCAACAAGGTGTGTGACTACGCCCAAGGGGAAGTTTCTAGGCTTGGGATTAAATAGCTCAGAATGCTTATGTGATTTACAAAGTTCTTGCTCTAATCATGCCTGAAAGGCAGACACCCAAGGGCTGCCCAGTGTGTGCTCTTCATACAGCCCTCAGCCCCGAGACGCCCACAGTGCTGCTGAAAGGCGCCCGGCCCAGCCTCCCACCACCTGAGGATTAAGCTCCGCCGATCACAAGAGCCAGCTCAGCGTCCCTTGGAGACTGGAGGGGTCTGACTGCAGCTGGAGACCCCCAAAGCCGGCCTCAATTGGCGCGGTATCGATTTCGCATTCTTTCTGAACACTAGACAAGGGGACAATTTCAACCCTTCCCCTCCCGGGGCAAAAGTAATGACATAGGATGCAATTACCCAGGTGGGAAAAGTACTGATGGCAAAGGACAAGGAAATTTTTTCAAAAAGGTTCTCTAATCCTATAATTATTTGATGAAGAACACGTTTTTTATGGTGAATAGGGTAAAGGAGTTACAATTTGAGCTTCACATTTTCAGGGGTCACATTTACAGTGTGCAGGTACTGACTCTGCTGTACTGTATTTCAAGTTTAGAGCTTGCTGTAGGGGGGTGAGAGCCAGCTGACCCACAGCCCAAGACTCAGACACAACAAGATCCAAAGTCTGACCAGCAACTAGTTAGTAGATCTCATAGGAACTTGGCTTTTGAGGTTAAAAACAAAACAAACAAACAAAAAACCTGTTAAATAAATCCTTATTATTTATACTAAGACTTAATTCATGTCATGTCCCTAGAACTCCTATTTAACAAAAGCTGGGTGATTAATACAATTAAAGGCTGTGCATCTCACAGTTACATAAAATTCATCAGCTGAGGTAGGAGTAGGTGGTTCTAGTCCTTATTTTTTATTTATTTTTTAATGGCTTTTCAAGTTTATTTTTTTATTTAGAGAGAGAACACAAGTGAGGGCAGAGAGAGACAGAGGGACAGACAGAGAATCCCAAGCAGGCTCCATGTTGTCAACACAGAGCTCGACGCGGGGCTCAATTCCACAAACAGTGAGATCATGACCTGAGCCGAAATCAAGAGTCAGATGTTTAACTAAGTGAGCCACCCAGGTGCCCCTAGTCCTTATTTTTTAAGAGATCAGCATGAAAAGCCACTACACCAAGTCTGGGAGGTGGGAGTAAAAGCAGCAAATGTAAACCTTCTATCATAGTAACACCTTTATCACACCTTTAGTTACACACCTTTAGTTACCGTAATTACACCTTTATCACAACACTCTCAATGTCTTGTAGTTACAAGTTAACAACTTTACAGAGCAGCTTCCCGTGAAGGAACATATATGTTCCTTCTCATCATTTAAAACTCATTAATCCCCTAGCATCCATGGAAGGAAGGTATTATCCCCCATTTTACAGATGAGGAAATAGGTACAGAGACAGTGAATGATTTGATCACACAGGAATTAAATGGCAGATGTGTGACTCAAACCCAGGAGTGTCTGCTCTAAGCTGGGGCACTTTTTTTTTTTTTTTTTTTTTAACGTTTGTTTGTTTTTGAGAGAGACAGAGCATAAACAGGGGACAGACAGAGAGGGAGACACAGAATCCAAAGCAAGCTCTAGGCTCTGAACTGTCAGCACAGAGCCCAACATGGGGCTCAAACCCACAAACCACGAGATCATGACCTGAGTTGAAGTTAGACATAACCCACTGAGCCACCCAGGTACCCCTCTAAGCTGGTGCTCTTAACCCATATGCTTTTCTGTCACTCAAGGAATTTCCTTTTTTTTTTTTTTTTTATGTTTATTTTTGAGAGAGAGCTTGAGTGGAGGAGGGGCAGAGAGAGAGGGAGACAGAGGAACTGAAGCAGGCTCCATGCTGACAGCAACAAGCCCAACGCAGGGCTCGGACTCACAAACCAAGAGATCATGACCTGAGCGAAGTCGGACACTCAACCGACTGAGCCACCCAGGTGCCCCAGAAGTCTTCTTGATAGAACCTGATAGAACCTGAAAGAAACAGATAGAACTCGTCTACCCACAAATCGTCATGCAGGAAAAGCACCACATTCTGCCCTCATTCTTCCACCTGTTAGTTTTCCAACCACCAGCTCCCATCCCTTACTTGCATTCTAAAGGAGCCTGCAATTTGTCAGGCCAACCTCTCAACAGTATAGCCTTATATGGAATGACCACTTCCCGTTTATCCGGAGAGAATGTTTTTATCTTTAAATGTTAAGATAATGTTATTTTTGGAAAACCCACTGGGTTCAGACCCAGCAGTATTTACACGGATAAATGATTCAGGCCCATGGATCTGATCTATCCTTCCTCACTCTGCACTCACGTCTCCTGCAGTCTGGTTTTTCTGAGATTTGTCCTGTTCAGATTAAGAAATCCAGACTTCATTTTACTTTACAGGTTTTTTTCTTTTTCTTTTTCTTTTTAATTCCAAGATTCAGTGGCAGTGTCAAAGAAACAGGTTTGAGGACCAGGTTTTGATGATGATAAGAGTAGCCACTGTTTTTTTTTTTCTTAAAGATTTTATTATTATGTTTTTTCATTTGGGAGAGAGAGTGTGCACACAGCAGAGGGGAGGGACAGAAGGAGAGAGAGAATCTCAAGCAGGTTCCACACTCAGTGCAGAGTCCAATTAAGGGCTGGATCCCACAACCATGGGATCATAAACTGAAATCAAGAATCAGACACTCAACTAACCAAGCCACCCAGATGCCCCAAAAGATTTTATTTTTAAGTAATCTCTGCACCCAAAGTGGGGCCTGAATTCACAACCCGAGATCAAGAGTTGCATGCTCTACTGACTGAGCCAGCCCGGTGTCCCAGTAGCTACTGTTTTTTAAGAGCTCTTTCTAGGGATGGCTGGCTGGCTCAGTCAGACGACTCCTGATCTCAGTGGTCATGAGTTTGAGCTTCACGCTAGGTACATAGGTTACTTAATAAAAACTTTTTTTAAAAAAGAGAGATTTACATTGTGTGTATGTGGAAAAATCTTATAAAGACCAGGAGGCAGTCAGTCACCTTCACATCACAGATGGGGAAGCCAGGGCTCAGCAAGGCTTAGCAGCCTCTTGTGGAAGGTAGAATCTGGGTTCACACCCAAGCCCATTTGAATAAATGGGCCCTGACCATGTCCCCCACCCAACTGTCCCATCCTCTCTGGTGTATCAACTCATAAAAGAGGACAAGCAAACTCTGCCCTTACCTGAATCTGACCAGATAATATGGGTTTGCCTTTTTCTGTTTCTTCATTTTGAATTTTTTTCAGCCCACATGTTTTACATATATTCAGTTAGTTGCCAACATTTAAAAACTACTGATTTTAGGGGTCACTCAGGGGGCTCAGTTGGTTGAGCATCTGACTTCAGCTCACGTCATGAGTTCAGGGTTAGTGAGTTTGAGCCCCACATCAGGCTTGCTGCTGTCAGCGTGGAGCCCACCTTGGATTCTCTGTCCCCCTCTCTTTGCCTCTCCCCTGCTCGCTTGCTCTCTCTCTCAATAAACATTTTAAAAAATTATTGATTTTATGGTTTCTTATGAACACTGGGAAATTCCTATAAATTCACAATATGTGCCAGTGCTGGGCCAGGATATCCACGTGGGCATACGGATGGCCAGTGCTGGATGCTGAAGCCATTATGCCCTTGGACAGGTTACCTATCCTCTGGCTACTGCTGAGACCCAAAGGCTAAGGACTCCGCCTGATTTATTGCCATACACTACTATTTTCCAAGCCCACATCTCTCTCAGTAATGGCCAAGGGAACAAAAGATGAGCCACAGGGCACAGCATCAAGCTCCGTACATGCCCAGCAAGTATATGCCCCAAAGCAGGAAGCACATCTGTGCCCAAGCACACCTAAGCTACACATACGTCAAGACACACCTGGCCCCTGGAGGTTGTCACACTGGGACCCTTGTGCTCGTCACGACCCACGCAGGCCACATGATGGGCTCCGTTCTGACCACTTACCAAGGGCCCCTGGGGACCAAAGAATGGTGACCGCCACTTGGTCATGGCAAGCATACTGACTGATGGTGATGTTCTGCGCGTCGGCAATCACGTGCTTCCCCACTGGAGTCAAGTAAGTGGTGCAGTCTAGAGGGTTGAGAGAACAAGCACAGTTAGAGTAAAACTTTAAATTTTACAATTTTTTATTTCCAGGTTCATCTTCTCAAATTACACAGAGCCATCTGGAGGCAGCCAAATCCATTGTGTTTAATGACATGTGCCTCAAAAGCCCAAATGTGACAGTAAAGCGTGACTATTTGGTAAACTGTAAGATGCAGTTGTGGGATTTATTTATAGCACCAGCACTACCAGCCACCCCTCGAGTTAACTTTTAGGACAGCAGTAGAGGAGAGTCAGACACAGTCTGGAGTTTAACTGTGTATCTGGCATTAACTTTTTTTTTCACTGCTATGACATCATACCTAAATCAATAATTATTTACATCGCTTCACTCAGTTTTCAGCATTAGAGAGTGATCTGAAACAAAACCAATGGCTAAAGATTGGGGCTTGTTTTTAGAAGAAACCTGGAGGCAAAGTGAGCAGGGTAAGGAAGTAATAGGAAGATAGGACTCACAGGGGAGTGGCTCACAGCAAGACAGTTAAAACAATCCAATTAGTATCTGCAGAAGGTACTAACCAACTTCGTGATGAGCAAAGCACCTTCGATGTTAACTCACATCTCAAAGGTAAAACACCATGTGTTATAAAAGACACCCAGGATGCCCACCAGATCCGAAGAGTTCCACATTACTCAACCAATGAAGATCTCTGACTTGGCCTGAGGACATTACTTGCTGCCAGGTGTCAATGCAGCCACTACCATGTGAGCAGCTGTGACACCTGGTATTGCTAAACACATCTTCAAAGTCTACAGAATCCTAAAAAGCTGCCAGAAGCTTCCAGCCAGACTCAGCATGGGACTCCAGAGAATGGCCATGGGCTGTTCTGGCCACTCAGGCAGGGAGAACCATCAGCGCTCCTCAGCAGGCACCAACTCACAATTTTTGAAAAGTTTTTATTTATTTATTTTGAGAGACAGACAGACAGACAGACAGATCAGGAGAGGGGCAGAGACAGAGGGACACAGAGAATCCCAACCAGGCTCTGCACAGTCAGCACTGTGCGTGGTTCAAACTCACAAACCATGAGATCGTGACCTGAGCCAAAACCAAGAGTCGGACACTTAACTCCCAGGCACCCTCCAACTCACATTTTTTTATGCTGCTTCATCTCCATTTCTTTTTCAGTGATTAAAATTGAAAACTCTCTTTGGTGTCTGCTGCAAAAGATCCTTAGTTCCATCAAATGTCCCAAACTACTCATTACCCTTCCTCCCAAAGTCAGGGTGTTTTTCTTTGAGGTGAAACAGTCAAGGGTTGTTTTCTAGGCTTGGGGAGTCTGCTGCACGCCCCATACCCCTGCTGCACACCATACCACGCATTTCCCATTTTTATTACTAAAGACCTTCCCTGGATATTTGAAAATTATAAAAGAACATAAGAAAACTGTAGAAGTCATCCACACCCTCCCACCACACAGAGGTAACTACTATCAACTTCTAAAGGACACACTTCTAAGCCTTTTAATGTGCACATAACATATATCCTTTTTAAAATTTCTTACTAAAATTCAACACACATGCACCACAACGCACCTCCCCCCTTGGGTAACTCCTACCCTTCACACAGCTTTGTGTCCTTTTCTTGCCTAACTGCACCTCCTTCTGGAAACTCCATCTGCTTAAAAAGCAGCTACCTCTATATTTCAATATTACTTCTTTTGAAAAGATGTTAATAATTAATAAAACCAAATTCTACTTCTAATGAAAATTGATTCTTGAGGCATTCAACATGTGTTCTCTGGGTGCAGAAGAGAATTTTAGAACAGAAAAAAATGTTTCTTTAAACATCTGGTTTAACACCCACATTGTACAAATGAGGAAACATTTTGCAGTTAAGAGGCCAGCTGGGTGGCTTAGGATTCCGCTGCTGACCAGCCCAGGGTCAGGACAGAAAGCAGCCTGGCTCATGCAGGGCTCTTGCCATTCTATCCTCAGCACAGAGATTATTACTATAATAAAATCTGAATCAGAAGTAGTTAGCCTGCAAAAATCCCTGGCTGAAACCAGCTTCCCAGTATTTAAAAAAAAAAAAAAATCCCACCATACTTGTCAATTTCAAACATTTTCATTTATCGAAACCTCTCACTTAAACAGCTGCTAGAAAAAGATGCATGAAAATAAGCGCAAATCATGTTTTTATTTCCCTTTGTTCATTCCTAATGCCAAAATTAGCACTCTTGAGGTTTCTGTAAATATAATTATGCAAATATAAAGTCAAAGAATTAAGAAAATGTATTACAACCTACTCAGGCATTACCCCCTCAGAGTCCAAAGAAGAAACGAGAAATGCAAAATGAAAGGAGGCATGGAAACCTGGGAGATTGAGTTTTGACTTAATGGCAAGACATTACCTTTGTTTGTAACATCAAATGGCAAAGGGGCAGAAAAATTAGATTTTGTAGTTTAACCCTTTTGGTGAAAACCTGATCATTGGCTCTTAAGCTGTTTCAAACGGAACGAGTAACCCGTCAACTGAGCGAAGAACAGAAACTTCCTTGTGGGAGAGAGAAAGAAATATCTTTTCAATGGAAAACAATGAATAAATTTTTTACATAAACCTGGATCCAATTATTAGCAACTCTAACATTTTGGATTCTGGTTACCAAATAACTATGCCCAAATGACATTTTGCCAAAATACAACCGAGCTTCAGATGTCTCAGGAGTCAATTCGAGTTGCGAATTAAATTCTAATTAAATGCTGCAGAGTAAGAAAGAAAGTAATGACTAAGAGGCATCAGGCACGTGGGCCAAGTATTCAGTCCCATGAAGAAAACAATAAGATACTTTTAAGTTTTACAGGTACAGATCCTCTTTCACAAAACCCCGTATTAAATTAGAGCTGCAAATAGTTGTTTGCCACTGACCGGAAAATTTTGAACTCTTGAATGTAACACAAGATCTGCCAGGACCAAGAGCATATATTAGAAATTAACTTTGTAGCTCAAAGAGAGATCTCTTACACATGTCTTTACTTAGCTGAATTAAGTATCCTGGACTTGCAAATCTTTCATTAGCAATAGAGCATTTACCCAGAGCAGGCGCACACCACTAACTTGAAATGTCTGCTTCAAATGTAAGTCCTCATTGGTTAACTTAAAGTACTCACCTCAGCAACTGTGGACATAAGTAGGACACACATATTTGTATCTTAAAAGTGTTAGATTGTATACATGACTTTAAAAATCTTGCTTTAGTAGTCATCATTTCAAAGGCCTCAATGTGACCCACACCTATTATTTGCATGGATTCACAACCCTCTCCAAGAGATGAATCAAATGTCAGGAGTCACTTAAATAAGAGTCAAGCTCCCTCTTGTTAACATTTTTACATAGAAATTATGCCTCATAAGGCTAAAATGCTCACCATTCCATATAATTACCTTCTTAGGCATGAAAGCATTTGCTGAGGGGAGATTCTATATGCTTAATCAGAAAAAGCAACCCACCCTGCCCTTAAACAGATTAAGTCAAACTTCCTTGAGAGAAAGGGCCCAAAAGATGCTATATTCCAATTCTGGTTGGAATGCCTTCTAATATTAACAGATATCAATTACTGAGTGTACATCATAGGCTAGCTACTGAGTTAAGCAGTTCAAAGCATTACCTCATTTAGGACTCAAAATGATACCGAGGAAGAACCGAATCTTTATTTTATATGATGTGAAAGCTGAGGCTTGAGGTCAAATCACCTGCCACAGCTCACAGTTGACAGGTACAGAGCCAGAGCTGGAATCTAGGCCTACATCAGAGATAGCCAACGGGAGACCCTTGGGCAAATCTGGGGCAATGTTCACTTGGCCCACTCTGTGTGTGTGAAAAATTTGAAATAGATGACAGTATTAAAGAACGGACAAAAACTGCAAATTTCTCACTCTTCTTGGAAATCACATCTGGCCACACTCAGGGGGAATACCTCAAGAGCTTCAATGGAGAGAAGCCAGTGCTCCCTTCGGATCAGACAGTCCCTGCTACTGCCTAGCATCTTGCAGTTGAGTAGCTCTGTCCCCTGCTGGGCCCTCTAGGCATCTGCCTTTATTCTTGACATGACTATATCCTGAAGAAATCAGGGGAGATCTCCCTCCATCCAAAACTTCTCCCAACACTATGGAAGACCCTTGACCTCTCTAAGTTCCCAAATACTTGAGTACCTCAAATGAGACAGAGCCAGCCGCTTTAGTTCTACTGATAAACCTGAGCAAGTTCAGAAAATTCCTCAACCCTAGGACCTAAAGTGCCCTTGATTGAGCACGACTGTGTGAGTGTTAGATCATTGAAAGGGCCTCATTCTTCAGCGGTGAAGCCAGTTACTTACTGTCATATCTGAAGGTGATGTTGTGCAGCCCACTGCTTCTGCCGGACGGCCCCACTCCCTGGGGGAAAACAAGAGAACACGATGAGGAGAGAAGCCAATTTGCTCTTCCAACACAGATCTCCATGGAGTCAAAATGCACATGAGATTACGAAGACCCAGGGTCATGCCAGTTGCTGAGCAATATCTACCACTCTTCCCACCCACTCTGTGCCTCTTCTCCCCCACTAGCTGCCAACCTCCCTCCAGCCCAGGAGATTCCTACCGCCAGGCCATCGGCATCATGAGCACGCACTTCCCTAAGACAAAAGGAGTGTGCTGTTCTGTGTTTGGGGGTTAAATAATAATTCATTAACAGTAAAATTGGGAGAGAGATCATGAGCTGCCAGCTGGAGCCCTTCCAGTTGGATCTGCTTTGAGCACTGATTGGTTATAAAAGTCGCCTACCAGACACTCTCGTCCAAAAACTCTATTAAGCCACGACAGATAGGCAATTCCTCAAGTTTAAGGAAACAGGTTCCTCATTCCAAGAGTGGGAATGAGTGTGGGAATAAGCCATTACTTTTAATGAGAAAATTCTTCACTGTATCCATACCTATGCTTGGAATCTATAGGGTGGGTCATAAAAGAGAAAGAAAAAAGACTTAAAAAGGGCTAACTCTAACTCTTGGTGATGTGGCCGTTAGCCATCTGCACTCTTAATAGCAGGGATAACTCTGCCAGGCTCCCCACTTTAATTACAGCATCTACAGAGGGAGCACCGGAATCCTCCCATTGCCCAGCCTTTGCCTAACCCACCACTTATCCATCATGGGAAAGAGCAGCTACAGATCTGCCGACTCTGGTTTAACTGTTTCTATAATAATCTGCAAATGTGCCATTCAGCGCTAATTGCAGAATTCTCCAAAAACAGTTAATTCCGAAATGCTAAGTGATGGGAAAATATTCCAACCGCACAGCTAAAGTTTCCACTTAACAAAGGGGATGTTGGGGAAAACCATATGCTGGCAGCCCGGTATTTAATGGGCAATTGTCACACTGAGACACGATGTGCAGAACACTTCTGACGGAGCCCAGGGTCTCAGGCCACAACCCCATCATATCCATATGCTGTAGACATGTTCACGCTTTTTATCCTGAAGCCAGGCATGCCCACTGAAACTGTATCCCTGAGCTCAGATAAACACGGACCTTAGGAAAGCACAGCTGTGCAGAAAGGGATGGACACATACACACACACACACACACACCACACAAATTCTAATTCAAGTGAGAAATAAGCAGTAACAAAATCTAAATCAACATGGTACACTAGCCCACTAGCTCCCCTTCTTCCTGATTCACCTTCCTTCTCCAGCTTTCCTGTTTCCATCCTCCTTTTCCCACATACACAAGATTCCAGAATTCCTCCTCTGAGCTAAAACACTTTGGAAAGGGTTATTTTTGTATTAAAATCCTAAATGCCTCCATAAATCCTTAGGGACAATGCCTCTAATGTGCCACCAGAGTCTGCCCAACTTCCAGATGGTCAAGATCAGACTAACACAACCAGGCAGGAGAAAATACACTCTCCCCAAAACCCTTAGGAAATGCCCCAAACCACACCCTTCTCCCTTAAAACCCCCCAGGATATAAAATCACTTACTATTAATTATTATTATGAGCTAGACATCATGCTAGGTACAGTGGTGAACAAAACAGCCACTGGTCCTGTCCTCAGGAGCAAAGTAATTCATTCCTTCAAAAGAGACTAATTGGGTATGTGGATCACATGCAAGGTATACAAATTTCAAACCACACCTTGACTCTCCAAGAACACGCAGCATGGCATACAAGGAGTATGTAGCTAGGTGAAGAGCTGGCCATAAATAAACATAGTGTATGAAATGCTACAGGTAGCACCTCACAAAGGATGATTCGAGGGTAAGGAAAGCACACACCAGAAGTTTAGAAGAAGGAAGGGTAATTGGACTACAAGGGAGAGGGAAAGGCAGCATCATGGGAGGGAAACAGTCTATGGGCCAAGGTAAGTATCTTAATCCTTCTATCCTTCCACTGGTGACCAAGGGCGAACCACTTCACTCCACGGGGTAGGAGTGTCCTCAACTATTTTCCTAAAAAGATAATTGGCATGACTTTCTCCTGGGAAAGTAGTTTGAGGAGGACCAAGTGAAGCCATGTAGAGGAAGCACTTTCCAATAAAGGAAATGCATTTAAGAGCATGCTCTGAGGTATGTAAGGCTCTAGTGACCAGTCAGTGACTAGTCACCTTACTTGTAGGACTAACGGCTTTTCACTTAGTTCTTGTTCTCCTCATATTTCCACTGCAGCATGTTTTTTTTTGAAAGGATTTTATTTTAAAGTAATCTCTACACCCAATGTGGGGCTCAAACTTACAACCCCGAGATCAAGAGCCCCATGCTCTACTGAGCATGACGAAGCCGGCCAGGTGCTCCTGTTACAGCATGTTTTTAACAGGTATGTACTGGGCACTTGCACTGAGCTTGCATTGTGGAAAGAAGCCCAATGTCATGAGATGTGTTATATCTTGTAGACAAGAACCTAAGTCCTTCCAAATAAGGTCTGTGCTGAATCCAGAGCTGTTCAGAAGGGGTCCCAGTGAGCTTGGCCTCAAAGGAGAGTGAGGTTTACATACAGTATCGACTCACTACCCAGAAAGCATTCCATCTTGACCCAACTCCTACATGGTTGGGCACTTTTGGTCACGAACCAGAACCAGGTCCTAAACTCAAGGGGCTATGGCCACCAAAGCGATGTCCTAAAGTGCAATTCTGCCCTCATTCCTCTGCTCCAAGCCCACCACTAGTTCCCTGTCTCTTCTAGAACATTCACCATGGGGCTCCTGCCTATCTTCACAGCCACTCCCCTCCCCACCTGCCAAACCCCTCCAGGCACTGCATTACTGCTCAGTCCATGTTCTGGAGATTTCCGAATCCCAGAATGCCCTTCATACCATCCAGGACCTGCTCCTCTCATGGGCTTCCAGACTTAGTCCATCTAGCTCCATCACACGGTGTCCCTGACATACAGATCTGCCTGCATACTCGCCTGGTGGGAGTATAGTAACCACCCACCCAATCTGACTGGCCTGGCACTTCTACCAATGTACATGCAAAATCATCATTCTCATTCCACAAAAAAATCAGAGACCAAAAGACTGTGTGACTAAGCCTTGTCCTTGAGTTCAGACGCAACAGAGCACAGAGCTCAGCTCCATCAGAAGTACCAGTTCCTGTGGGCACTGGAAGACCTGTCACTCTTGGAAGTCATCCAGGGCATGGCTTCTGAGCACATGCATCAGACAGATGCACCATCAGGCTGTCCCCGGTTCACACCCAAATGCTCCCGCTGCTCCAGAGCTCTCAGAAACCACAGGAGAAATGGTGTACCCAGACTTGCTCACAGAGCACTACTGCTTTCTTTATACTTTGTGGTAGACAGAATACCAACCCCCCCTCCAAAAAAAACCACAACAGGTCCCAGGACCTACTTCACACAGCAAATAGGACTGTGAAGATGTGATTAAGTTTAAGGAACCTGATATGGAGAAATTATCCTGATGAGCCCATTGTAATCACATGGGTCCTTGTAAGTGGGATACCAGAAGGTCAGAGGAGGAGATATGGCCACAGAAGCAGAAGGCAGGGAGATGGACATGGATTTAAAGATGCTACACTACTGGTTTTGAAGATGGGGACAGACGGGGTTCACAAGCCAAGGAATGTAGGTGCTTCTAGATGCTAGAAAAGGCAGAAAAGGGGTTCTCCCCTAGAGCCTCCAGCAGGAGCCAGCCCTACCAGCATCTTTATTTCAGCTCCACATAAGACTCATTTTGGAATTCTGACTTCAACCAACTATACTGAATTCGTGTTGTTTTAAGTCACTAAACGGTGACAATTTGTTACAGCAGTAATTGAAAGCTAAGACATACATATACTTTTAGCTGCAATATAGATGAAATGGATCTAGTGCCCCACGTGTGCCGTGTGCTGTCATTTTCCCCTTCCCGCACCCAGGGCACATTGAAGAATCACTTGTCACTACCCTCTATCCCTCCCCGGCTGCAGGCAGATGTGAAACACTGAGACATCAAGCTGTCGCTTCAGATTCTGCCATCCTAGATGCACGCTCCTGAGGGCTAGTCTGGGGCACATCTGGAGTGGAAGACTGGTTAACAGCATGGGCTTTGGAGGTGTACAGATGTGTATTCAAACCTCCCCCTTCAAGCTGTGTGACCTTAGACAAGCTTCTAAACTTTCCTGAGCCTCATTTCCCTGAGCTATTAGGTGAAGTGCTTGAATAAAACTTCTGGGAAAAGTTCGGTGTGGGACTATGTGAGATGACACATTACCAAGTGCTCTGCACAGCATGCGACACCTTGAAATAGTTGTTACTGTTCCTGGGAGGATTCCTGCTCTAATAAGCAGAGAGAGAGCTGTGCAGGTGGGTGTACGTGATGTAGACAGGGGAACGCTCACAGAAGGGTCATCTCCAGATATGATCAGTCTCGGCATCCAAACGTAGGGGGTCTGGTAGATGGGTGGAAAGGTCAGGGCAAGGTGACAGAGGCACTAACCACCAGACTAAGGAATGGTCTTGGTGGGAACTGGGCAACCCAGTGACCCCCATCACTGGTAAGTGGTCAGGCTGGATCAGATGGGAAGAGACTGGAGGGAAAGTGACCAGGTCAGCCCCCTACCCCCTCAACCTTCCCCAAGCTTGCACCACAGTTCTAGCCCTGGCCCATAGTCAGCCCTTGATACACATTAGCTTTCTGCCTGAATGAATGAATGCATGATGAAGCTAGGGAATGCAGACCAAGAACCCAAGAGGACCTAGCTCTGTGTGACAAGGTGATTTATAGGCTTGGAATCAGGACTCACACTAAAAGAACATGGGTGACCAACTTACAAAGCTGGTGAATGGCTTTGGGTGCTGTTTTTCAATAAACAATTCAAAGCTTTTGGCTACTATACCTGTTTTGATATTTAATGGGTTTACAATTAATAATACTTGTTTCTGGCCAGTTACTTTAAAACT